TTGGAGGGCAGGCACCCGAAGAGATGAATTTGAATGCAAATACGTGCTATGCGAACTGGGGCTGGCTCCATTGCGTACATTTTCGTCCTCAGCAAATGTGCCAAAACAGCAGCTGACATTTTAAGTGCACTTCAAATCGATACTGACGCGGTGTTTGCGCGATCTGTCCTGATTGGCTCTATTCTCTTCCATTTTCCCTTGAGATTTCTGTACGCAGACATCGGTCGTATCTGAAATATATATTTGGATTATGATGGATGATAGTTCCTGTTAGAACCCTGCTTGAACAATTTCTTCCAAATCGAAAAAAACGCATTTTTAAGATTTTGGTCAAAATTTCCCTGCATAGCATGTTTGGCCTGATGAGTGCAACAACAAAACTGAGAAATTAGATTTCTGACCAACGGAAGTCTCTGTGAGGCTACCTTTCATCAAACGGTCCATCGTGTGAGAGAATTGAAGTTTTGAAGTAGCCGCTAAAGTAAACTGTTCTTCCATCGGCCGATTGCTCCGTACCCTGGCGTCCTTTTTTCATGGAATAGGTTGGCATTTCGATTGGATAGGAATTTGTGATGCACGATGACCAGCAATAACGAGATTCCCAATCACAAGTTAAGTGAACAGTATTGACAGGACAGACTTTTTATTGCAGCAGAGTGGTAGACCCAGAGGCCTTGATTAGCCCCCTGGGGCAATAATCACCTAGAGCCAATTAGTTGAGGATAAATTATCATTCACCATGAAGTCCTCACATGTGATCGCATGAGCTGCCCAATCAGGAACAACGGTTGCGCGCACTCACGACTGAAAAGGGAGTGCATCACAGCATCACCCGCCCTCAGAAACCTCCCCCCACACACTTCTAATCAACGTCATTTTCCCTCTCACGTAAGCATACTTGGGTCCAGCTCCCCTTTATTTCGTGTTTCCTCTTTTTCATTTTACGAGCAAGGAGTGGCTTGACGACGACGCTAAGATCCCTCCCCAGAAGCGCCTTCCCTCCCACACTTCTAATCGACATCATTTTCCCTCACACGTAGGCATACTTGAGTCCAGCTCTCCTTCATTTTATCAAAAGGACCTACTATGCTGCTGAACTCCTATTTTGCAATTCAACTACGCCCTTACCAAGACCTTGTGTGAAGGATGCCCTACCACTGCACGCCACTTCAAATTGTGTTTACGAATTTACATGTACTTGCGGATGCAATTACATAGGGCAACGGCAATTAGCAGCTTAAGCTAAAGAGCACTTGCCTAGTCGATTACTGAACATCTGCTTGATACGGGTCATTCTGTGGACCCCAAAACTTCTTTTCGAGTACTTGTTCGGGCACGAGCAACTCGTACCTTGTACGTCCTAGAGGCAGGCTATATACGGCGGTCAAAACTCGACCTACGTCAACAGTTGGAGCATGTGGTTAACATAACTTTGTCCTGGTAACATCCGGCTCCCTGATTTACACAGTTCCCTTTCCACCTTTTCGCTTTAAAGTGTGTCCTGACTTTTCCACTGTGCTTTAACATGCTCACGTTACTGATTAGCCTTCGTGACCAGGTTCTGTGACCTTACTGACCTTTTCTGTACGAATTCAATTTCGTGTTTTCTCATACGTTACTCACGGTATGCAGCGGGAGGAAGCAGGTGATGAACACTCTCGAAATTTTGTGGATTCATTAAATTCTGCTGTTGATGCAATCTTCAAATTTCCTTTCTTTTTTTCATTTTACGATCAAGGAGTGGCTCGACGACGATACTGAGATCCCCGACGAGCAGCCCTCGTCAGCCATCAAGCGCCGCGTCCTCGTCACCACGGATGATGCCTCCGTCTTTGCGGAGGCCCAACGAAAGTACCCGAACTACGAGTTCATCGGGGATAGCCAGCGTGCAAAATCGGCCGAACTGTCTTCACGCTATACTCACGACGCTCTGGTCGCCGTCATCACAGACGTGGTCGCCCTCTCGCACACCGACTACCTGGTCTGCACATTCTCCTCACAGGTCAGTAGAAGCCCCTACCCCCCACATACGCTCACATAATTCGTAGTTCAACCTGCACACGTGACCGGGTCCA